TATATATATATATATATATAAGAAAAACTCAATAAAATTATTGATTAAAAGATTAAGTATACAAATTTTTAGACATAATTTATTGAATAAGAAATTTAATATATAACGTAATTATATTCATTAAATAACTCTTTTAAGAGTTACTTTTGAAGTAACTGAATTTTCGCTCATATATATTTTTTAAAACTCACATATATATCATCATAGATGTTAAATATAATTTATATGTTTACAATATGAATTTAGTCCGTGTATGTTTTGTTTTCTTAATTTTGATAATTTAAAATATTTTTGTTTATTTTGATTTAGATATGAATTTAGTCTCTATATTTTCTCAATTTTAGTTCTTATAAATTTTTAATTTATTTTTGTCTTTATAAATATGCATTTTGCAAATTTTAGTTTTTTAAATATTATAATTTTTCTTTCCTTTAGTTCATGTAACTTCATACTAACTACTAAAAATTAGAAAGAAAAAAATATAAACCTATACTGACTAAAATTTGAAGAAAAAAAATATTATAAAGATTGAAATTGAGAAAGGATAATCCTATGAGGATTAAAAATAATTTTAAAAAATTAGAAGGATCAACATTAAAAAATTGTAAATTAATATTTAACTTATATTTTATATATAATATTTGAAAAATTAAAGTAAGCATAAATTATATATATATTAATCAATTTTATCAAGATATTTGTTAATTATCATATTATATATAAAGGAAGTTTTTTTTTCTAAACACGTATCACGATTTTTTCAAAAACGTTTTTGCTCAACATGTTTTTTTTTACTCTATCTTTTTTAATAAATTTAATTTAATTTACCTTCTCTCCATAACTCTCTCTCTCTCTCTCTCTCTATATATATATATATATATAGAGAGAGAGAGAGAGAGAGAGTTATGGAGATAAGGAAAATTAAATTAAATTATGTATATATATATATATATTAAATTATTTTATATTTTAAGATTGATTATGTACTTTTCTAACCTCTTGCTATTTCACTTTTTTTTTTGTTTATTATTTGTAGGAAATATATGAAGAATCAATGACACAAAAATATCGAGAAGACACTTCATCTCATCTTGTAATTGATTTTGATCATTGTTTAAAAGCTGCAGGTGAAAACAAGAAGAAAAGAGTTCATGGCATGGGACATAGTTTGGATCTTGGAACTAGTAGCTCTACACAAGCTTCATTTCCAGAGGTTGTAGGTTCCTCTAAAAATCTTACGCCTATGACAAACGAGCGGGTCACTACAGTTATAAATACTGCATTGGCCTCTTTTTTGCAAACACATTTACCATAGATGATGATGCAGATAATCTAGGCAGTTCAACCATCAACAACACCATCAACCAACCAACATAGGGAGGATCAAGGACGAGATGATGATATTACTAGCTTAGGTTGATTACTATTAGGATGACTCGTTATTTGACTTTTCTTTTTGTAAGACATTGATTAGTTTGGTTTTCTTTAAGATAGTATGCACAAGTTGGATTTTGTAAGACATTTAACAATTTGGTTTTGTAAGAGATAATGTTTCATGCAACTTTTATTTTAAATCATGTCCAATTGAAAAAAAAATTATGTAGTTGATTTAGATTTATTTAAAATATCAAATTAAGTGGTATATCTACAGGGAGTCATGAGAGAATAATGTATATATAGATAAATTGGGAAGGTTTCGCGAGATATTAGCGAGGGATTAGCGAGGAAACTCCAAAGAGATGTTGTTAAGGTTTCGCGAGGGATTAGCGTGGTATTCACGAGGGAATTCAATCGATATGATTTGATGGATTTGCGTGGGATTAGTGAACGATTTGCGAAGGACATGTTTGCGAGGGGTTAGCGAGGGATTTGTGAAGGACATATTTGCGGAGGGTTAGCGAGGGATTTGCAAGGGACCTCAATCGATATATTGCAACAAAGTTGCGAGAAATTAGCAATAATATCGCGAGGGATAATTGCGACGGAGTGGCAAAAGATTAGCGAGGAAATAATTAAACAATATTTTGTGATGGAGTAGCGACAAAGTAGCGAAGGATATCTTGCGAAGGATTTGCGATGTGTTAGCGAGGAAATATTAAATGCAATTAGCGAGGGAATTTGGGTTCTACATTTGCGAGGCAATAGCGATGAATTAGGGGCACAAATTTGCGACAGACTAGCGAAGCTGGTTGCAAGGGAAAAATGAAGGAATGTAGCGAGGGAATTGCGAGGGATATGCATCCGTTGCTAATTAGCGACTTGAATTTAGCAAGGGAATAGTCCTTCACAAATCCCTCGCTAATTAGCGACTTGAATTTAGCAAGGGAATAGTCCTTCGCAAATCCCTCGCTAGTCCCTCGCCATTTTGTTTTGCGAGAGATTTGCGAAGGATCTTTCCCTCTCAAATTCGCAATTTTCTTGTAGTGATTTTTGAACATACTTCTTCAAAGGAAAAAGGCCCAGCTAGTGCCAGTGATCAAGATGTTATAATGACTGAAGCAAACATTGTCTCAGTTAAGGTCTCAACAAATACTAGAGGTTCCTCTGTTAAGGTTAACATCACTCATCTTTCCTTCTATTTGATTGTTTTTCAAGTATAATTTTTCCTGCAATTTGATTTTAACTTTTGATATATCGTTGAAGTTATTGATCCAAGTAAATTTTTAGTTTTAACTCATAATATTTTTTTTTCTTTCGTAAAACTTCACTTGAAAAAGAACTTTCATTAATAATATTTTTTTTACACAGATTACATTCTCTAATCATGTGTTTTTTTTAGAGAAAACTAATGTATCAAAATGAGAAATTATAACTTAATGATTAAAGATAAAAAATAAAAATAAAAAGATCCTAGTGTAGCAAATAAATTTTGTCTCTTATAATGCCTATAAAACCAATAATATGCAACAATAGTATCAAGCTCATCATTTTCCTAATGTAGCAACAATACGCGTCTATATTTTCTTAGAAGTCTTTAAAGTACCTAGAGTTAAATTTAAATTTTTTTGTTAATTAATTTATTGTAATTTTTTAAGAATATTTTTAATCATCTAGAGAACACATAAGATTTATTGATTGTAATTTTTTTCATTGATTTTGCTTCACCATCAAAAAGCTTTAATGATTTAGTAAACACATGAGAGTGGAATTAATAATAAGTAAAAATAGAACAACCCTTTTCCTTTTTTTTAATTAATTTATTTACATGTTTTATTTGTTTGATATTTAATAGGATTTTGAATAGGTCACTTAACCAATGCATTATGTTTATTATTGTAGAGTGCTCCACAACCACTATGGAGAGTTATCATGAGTTGTGTACCATGACTTTGGAGTACAAAAGGGAGTGTGGCAGGAACAATTAATGTGCAGGATTCTCTTAATGATGTGTGTTTGTTGCTTTGATTTAGGGAATTGTGTACTATAAACATCTGATTTTGATTGGTAGTGCGTGATATCAATATCATTACCACTTGCAAATTTTATTACACATTTGGATAAGCTTGTTTCTTTATCAAATCTGGCACTACTTTCTCTATCACATTTGAATTTCCATTTCTTTTTTATGGTTATGTTGTTGCTAGATGTTATTAATAATTATTTGTTTCATTAAAATTTATACATAAGCATGTATATTATAATTTGTTTGTGTGATTTTTGTTATTGTAATTTGGTGGCCAAGTTAATCTTGATGCATAATATTTCTCCATTATATTTATATATGAAAATCTGTCTAAAATATTTATATATATGTTCATAAAAGGTAATTAGAAAAAATCTAAAAAAAAACATGATTTTTTTTTAAAAAAATACAATCTACATCGATTTTCTAAAGAACAGATGTAAATTTATACATAAATCTACATCGGTTCTTAGGAAAACCAATGTAGATTTGTGTATACTTTTACATCAGTTCTTAGAAAAATCAATGTAGATTTATACATAATCTACATTGGTTCTAAAACAGATGTAAAAGGGTATAGATTTTCTAAGTTGCTCTATTCTACATCGATTTTAGAATTGATGTAGATGACCTCCCAGAACCAATGTAGAATATGCATCCTATAGTAGTGCACTACAAGAAAATGACGATTTTGCGACGGTTATATGACCTACATTGCGACGGTTATAACTGCCGCAAAGACAACATTGCGACGGTTTGGGAACCGTCACAGAGTCGTCCGTCACCAGGCAATTTTGCGACGGTTATCAGAACCGTTGCACAAACTGTCGCAAAATTCGAATTGCGACCGTTTCATCAATTGTCGCACCAAATGCCTCTATATTAACATTGCGACCCTTTCTTTATATGTTTTTCTCCCAAAACATTCTTCAGTTATGGGAGTTATAAAATTTTATTCCCTTTTTCCCTACTTGGATGCAGGCACTCAGCTCTCCTTACTTGGACAATGCATCAAATTCAAAAAACATGAGGAATCAACAGTCTGTGAGTACCCATTTTCCAAAGTCTTTCTCTCTCTTTCTCTCACCAAGACTTGACGCACTAGTTTGAACAGGACAAAAATGACCTATATATATTGTTTGTACTAGAATATAATTGAAGGGAATGTTTCTTCTTCTTTTTATTTATTTTTTATTTTTTACTTCAAATACAGGTACATGGAGAAAGAAATTCTGTTTTTCCAGAGGACCCGGGTCAGGTATGCTTTATCGGATCCATGAATTCATTAGAACCAAATTAGGAGCCCTTGTTTGCAATTATTGAAATATTTAATCCATGAAAAGAAGGCATTTAAAGAAGAAGATTTCTCAGCTTTTTATAACATCTTTTAAAGCACGAGTTGCTTAATTGAAGTCAAAGAAGTGTAATGAGTAATTAATACTTTTTGGTTTTATTCCCATGTAGCTGTTGAATGACAATAATGGCCTGAAAAGAAAGGGAGCTCCAAACCAGGTACTCCACTCCCTTGTTTTCAATATTCAAGAATCAAGATGCATTATATTCCGTTATCATTATTACTAGCATTAGTGCAGAAAATGGGTATAGAAACTAACTGTCAGAAATTGCATGGTTCATATTATTAATTAAACAGGATGCAGAAGAAAAACCAAAGGACTTGAAGAGTAGAGGGTTGTGCTTGGTCCCAGTGTCTTGTACCCAACACGTTGGAAGCGAAAATGGGGCCGATTACTGGCCACCTGCATACGGCAGAGGATTTTAACATTTCATATGTTAAGTGCTAGCTGGAATTAATATTTCATATTTGTGGATTATATGATATAACATCGTGAACACTCAATCTCTAATAATCAAAAGGCTGATTGCTCACGATGCTATATGCCATTCACTCCATGGAATTTTATATATCCTTTCTTAAATCATCATGTACTTACTGGCTAGCTCTCATCTAGTTAGGATAACTTTTTTAAGATTTCTCTAAACTTTAATCAATCTGTACTATGTTCGTGCTTCTTCTAAATATGCATCTTGACTTTCAAAGGAAAAAGAAATATGCACTGTGCGGATCTCATATTCTTCCTTATTTTGCTCACATCATTAGTCATAGTAGCTGATTAATTAATTAATTTACATCCTGTCTTTGTTAGTTATTTATTTTTTTCATTCTACTGCTTCAAATTTAGTGGAAGAAACGATTTTAATTGTTAGTCACAAGTATGTTAATTATAGCATTTCTTTATTCAAATGATAAGTATAAACTTAGAGATAAAAAGAACCTTCATGTGCTCTTCTTGAATGAACTTCTTGGAAGAAGGGTTTAAACTTTAAAGAAGACTTCATGTGGGGTAAATGGTGTAAGAAAAGAAGCTAAAGCGCAAAGCTCTATCATATGAATTTCAATTACCAACCGCGCGTATACAATAAAAACAAAATGAACCTGCTTTAAGAAGTAGACATTTTAACAGTATTAAATCTAAATCTGGAGAAGGAATATGCAAATGATGACATATAAATAGCACAATGAATTTCGACCTAAATCAAAAAACATTATCGCTTTATAAAGTTACTTCAAACCAAGTAAAGATTTTTGGATGCATAAGATGTAAATACATTTTTAGTGGTCATTATATATTAGTCATTAATACTTTTATTAAATAATAAAATAAAAATAATTAATTTATAACTATAAAGTAATTGTTGATAATAATAAATTTTATTGCAGTGTACGTATATATAAAAATATAATGTCTACAAATATCAGGACTAATGATAGTAAACCAATGGCCCATCAACAATCATCCAACAAACCCATAAGAAAGGCCTAAACCCCATTGTGGCTTTAGATTTATTATGAAAGAACTTACTCTTTTGGCTCTGATGCTTAGCTTTTTTTTAATCAAGTGTCCCAATCATGACACACATAGGGTATCTAACTATCTATTTTAGGATTGTTAGAATTGATCACTATTTATCCTATTGTTGTAACAGTTCTAAGGCATCAATGAAAATATGTTATCTTATTCTCTTTTATAATTTTCTTAGTATTGTTATTTGTGCTTCTTCTCTATAAGAATTTAGCAAATTGGTGTTTCCATTGAGCTTACCTATTTCACCCAATAATGATTCTTTCTCTAGTGGCCAAGAGGATCCAATCCAACACCTTCCCCACCCACCTATTCAATAACCTCAAAACCCATGTTGACAATTAAAATGTCATGAACACAAACCATTATGATAATATGTCCTCACTCATGGGTAACATTCTTGATCAGTTGGCCATCATGGGCTCAAATAAGTGTGAATAATGCATAAGCCCATTGTACATGAACTGAAATTTAATTAAATTTTGATGAACAGAGGAGTCTAGGATATAAAACTTCTAACCTCTTGGTTGGCTTTTGATACCATGTCAAGAAGTAGAGTTTCATTTCAACTAGTTTCATAAATCAAGGTGTCTTATTTCAATCATTTAGTAAAAAAATTTCTTACTAAGTGAATTCTTTACTATCAAGGACAAGAAATAAATAACAGAAAGTTATTATGATCATCTACTATGGTTTATTATCAAGTTTATTATTTTTCCAATATAATATTATATATTATTAAACAAGTTATTATTTTATATCATTATCTTTTTTTTTTTTATAAATACATGTATTCCTATATGTCTTTTCAAACTCAATAAAAATTTAGAGACATATAATTTCAATATCTACATTTCATTAAATTTATATCTATCCATAATTTTACCTATGTTAATTGAATTTACAACTATGGATTGATGTTATTATATCTTTCCCTAACCTAACATGTAATTTGAGAAACCCCTAATAGTGGGGTACATTATTAAAAATTGGTGCTAAAAGTGGTCAAGACCAAGGAATTCTCTAGTACAGGCACCAGATTTTGTCCAAGTTACCTCTACTAAGTAGGGGAGACCTTTAGAAGGAGAAGAATAGCCCTTAAGGGCCCAACAAGGCATGGAAGCAGACCGTGACAGAACCCGAGAGGTCCAAAAGGCATCACAATGCACAAAACCCTAATTACGGCATGGAACAACCGTTCTCAACCTTGAAAAGGCCATTCCCAACCTTGAAACGGTCGTTCCCAACTGTAAAAATGAATTAAACCCTAGTTTTGGAATGACCATTCCAACTACGTATTTTGTATGCTTTTTTATGGTGCAAAACGCTCGTTCTAGTGTTGGGAATGGTTGTTCCCCTTCCTTGAGCCCCTATATAAACGTGTTTAGGGCTTATTCTTCCACACACCTGTCAAAACGTGTCCCTATCTACATTTATGAAGATTCTTTTATAAAAGGCTTGCTTCGGAGGTTCTAATTCTCTCTCTTTTTCCCTCTCCTCTTTACTTTGCTTTATTTACAACCCTATTCTCATGTAGTGAACGATTACTATGTAGATAAAAAAATTAATGTGTTGTAAATTAATATAATGTAAATTATTATACGCTTAATAAAATAAAAAGGGATAAATATTTAATTATTTCGTTATTATGCTAAATTTATCACAGGGTACCAAATTAGGGCTATGAAGGGGTGACTAATACCTTCCCCACACGTAATTGATCCCCGAACCTGATTATGGGTATGAAGGCCATAATCTATTTTTGAAAGCCTTTTTTTTATGTTTTGAGAAAAATATCGATGGCGAACCTTTTGAACCTTTTCAAAAATCAGCAATGAAGGTTTAGTCAGATCTTTAGGCATTCCAAGCCTAGTGAGATTTTCAAAATAATGTCTAAACCATGGATAAGATCATAAATTTTCGGGTTTCGATATCTAGAAAGAGGTGTTTACGATTATATTGTAAGGAATATGAAAAACTGAGGGACATGTGATGACATGGTGTCCTGTACTAGAAATTAGAGCTTGGTAAAATTGAGGGATGAAAGACGTGGTGTCTCACACTAGTGAGAATACTTTAAGGATAAGGTGTTGAGTGGTTGATAAAGTTAAGGGTCAATGTATCACCTTATACTAGAATCTGCACCTAACTAACACGATAGCCTTGACAACTACTCTAACATTTTAGGATTAGTGTGAGAGTACGTCCCAAATTTGGATAGGGAAACAAGGTATTATGGATCCATACTGTGTCAATGTCAAGTAAGTACAACTAGAACAAATTCTAGTTCCCACCTATAGTCCTATGTTTCTGATAGTAAGTGTTCTTACCTTCATATTTGCAAAGTTAACATTCAGTAAGTATAATTAGAACCAATTCTAGTTTCCCCCAAAAAGTCTTGTGTGTCTTAGGGTAAGTATCATTACCATTAATATATATTTAAGTCGAGATCATTAAATCTTCACACCCTTGTCTTTCTTTTGTACATGTACTCGATGGATACGTCAAGATAATGGCCAAGCATAATGGCCAAGTTGATTCAATAATACAAATATTGAAAGGATTGTGAAGATCATCAAGAAGATACAATGCATAAATACTATTTTCACTTATACTTGTATTTGGGGTAAGATAGAATTTTTGTACAGCTTTGGTTAAGTTTTATGATGTATGGGTGAGAATAGTTAATATGTATTTTCGTTGTATATGTTTGTAATAAGAATTCATATTTATATTTAAGAAGATCATTGTCTTTTATATTTAATGTTAATAATATATTTTAATAAATGCAAAAAAAATCTACTCACATTTTTATAACAAATAAGTAAATAGTTAGTAAGCTATTGTGTCTGGTGTAATAGGGTGTTACATATTATTACCTTGAGTGTAGATAGATTGAATTGTCATGCCTGCAATCAAGAGAGATGTCCCTAGCTTTGAAGCACAAGATCTTTTGGAAGAGGTTACTTTAGGTACAAAAGAAGAACTAAGAACAACCCACTTTAGTGGTTTATTAGCTGAAGAAGATAAAGATTGACTAATAGCATTGATAAAAGATACATAAATTGTTTCGCTTGGAATTATCATGAGATGTGGAGTTATCTAAGGAATTGGTATAGTATAGGCTACTAATTAAGAAAGGGTTCAAACCACATTGGAAACCTCCTGCGGGATGTAACCTCAAATCTTGCCTCAAATCAAAGCAAAGATTATCAGGATATTGAGGGCAGGTTTTATTCGAACAACCAAATATGTCACATGGTTTTCAAACATTATTTTGATCATAAAAAGAAGCAAGTATTAGTTCTACCGACTTTAGATATTTAAACCATGCAACTCCAAAAGACGAATGTGTCATTTTCATAGCTGATATGTTGGTAGATACAACTACCAAACACGATTTCCTTAGTTTTATAGATGGTTAATTAGGATATAATCTAATCTTCATGGCCATAGAGGATGTCCACAAGTCAATGCTCCAATGTCCCAAGCCTTTGGGACTTATAAATTGGATAATGATGTCATTTGAATGGAAGAATATTGATGCTACCTATTAAAAGGCCATGAATCTCAACTTTCACAAAGCAATTGGGAAGAACTTGGAAGTTGATATGATGACGTGGTGGTCTATTCTACTCACACAAATCAATATCAAGTCGACTTAGATTAGGCTTTGCAAAAAATGAACAGAAAGGAGATCATAATTATAAAAATAACGTAAGTTTAACTAAAGACATCACATAACATACTAACTGAAAACATAATGCCAAAATATGTGTCACTACAAGAAAAATCAGGATTATCTACGAAAGAAATCCATGGATAAGCATGAAAATCCGTAGATAAGTCTTAATTATCTACGGATTATCTACAGCCAAAAACCCGTAGGTAATAAGGTTGTAGATAATGTTATCTACGAAAAGTTTATCCGTAGATAACCTTATATACAGACATATCTACAGATTACTCATGAAAGTTGTTATCTATGGATAAGATTTAAAAGACTTACCTACGGAATTATCTACGAATTATTTCTGTAGATAACTTATCCACGCGTATTTCTGTAGAAAAATTTTTGTTTAATTTTAATGAATTTATTAATGTAAAAACCCTCATATTTGGCCTCTCAAGGATGCTATTTCACGACACTTCACTTTTCAATATTTTTTGTCCTTACTGCACAATTTCTAAAAAAACTTCCCAAAAGGTCACCTATTCC